GACAGGAGCCTCAAGCTGTCCCCCTGGGTAGAGTGCTGTGACATCACAGCACACAGCAACCTCCAACTCCTGGGCTCAAGCGAGTCTCCTGCCTTAGCCTCCTGAGTAGCTGGGACCACAAGTGCCTGCCACAACGCCCAGCTATTTTTTGGTTGCAGCCGTCATTGGTGTTTGGTGGGCCCAGGCTGGATTCGAGCCCGCCACCTTGGGTGTACGTGGCTGGTGCCTTAGCCACTTGAGCCACAGGTGCTGAGCCAACAAATCCTTTTAATAAAGAGATACTTTCTTTGGAGTTTGGATTTGGCCCAGGGTCTTCACTTGGGGATCTGGAAGGCCACATGTGGTCTTGAGACTGCAAGCTCTCTACCCTTGTAGTTGATCCGCTGTGTGAATGTTGAGATAGCTGGTCATTTTGGAGTCTACTTAAGCATGTTCCCAAGTGTAGATAGAGAACATGGAAGCAGCAGTCATATAAACAGCAGGATTTGGATCAGTTTGGGAATGTTTGGGTTGAGAGTAGGGGACCCTTTTACCTAGAATTAATGCTGGCCCATCCTGCTCCGAGATCATCAAAAGTTCTCTTCAAATGAGGGCTTATCTGTCTGTGCTTGCTGTGTCAAGTGGGGTTGGGGATGGGGTGGATTGTTAGTGGAGAGGCATTATGGTGCCCTGGAAACCACTTGGAGCTTGGACTCAGGCAGTTTTGGTTCTAGTCTCTGCTTGCTGGCTGTCTGACCTTGAGAAGCCACTGGTCTCTTTGAACCTTAGTTTCCTCAAATGTAAAATGGGAATTCTAGGAGTACCTCCTTTGTAGAGTTATAACAAATCTTAGAGATGATGTAAAACACTAATACAATATTTGGCAGGTGCTCAATAAGTGGCAGTTATTGGAATTGACATGATACTTTATTTTGAGGTACCATTAGTAATGACAATGGCATCAATTTTGCCATTGATAATAGCAAGATACACCTTTGAATTAATTATATCTTCTCAGAAACAAAGAAACAAGACTTTATATATACTTAAAAAGTTGTCTACAGTGGCTTTCATTAGTTTATGTGCTTACATATGAGTTGCTTTTTTTTTTTTTCTCTAACCAGCATTTGGAATATAGGTATTTTTCAAATTAATGAAGTTCTGTATCATATTTCCTTTTTAGGAATAATGTGTTATTTCAGAATTATATGCTGCTTTTCATAAAGTTGATTACTTGTGATCTTGGTCCCTTTAGTACATTTTAGGTTGGCAGTGTCAATTTTGAGGTTTATCAAAGAATGGTGGAGTTTGGTCTATATTTTCTTTTTGGCTAAACTCTTATTTCCCCTTAATTGATTATAAATTGCTAGAAGTTAAATAGCTGAAAGCTTCTGATAATTGGATGTTTTTCATTTGAATGCTAGTCCTTCAGGCTTTGAAAATTCTGTGTCAGTTCCAGGAGACTTGGTGATTTTTCCTCCTTTTAATTGCATTTTGTGTGATAAGCAATCTCTTGCATACATAATAGCCTTTCCTTTCAGTACTGTTTTATAGTGGAATTTTTTAATGCATTTGAAGTAATATTAGGGACCTTAAGTTAAAATTCAACTGCATATCATGTTACTTTGTAGAAAACTTAATTGAGTTGGTAAATCAAATACTTGTGTTCAGATAAATCCACTTTTTGAACAGCAATATCACTATATTATGACTTACTCTCCATCTGCAGCTCACAAGTTTCTTTCAACATATGTTTTATAAAATGTAGCCAGAGCTGGGCATAGTGGCTTATGCCTATAATACCAACACTTTGGGAAGCTGACGCAGGAGAATCATTTGAGCCAGGAGCTTCTGCACAGCTAAGGAAGTAATCAACTGAGTAAATAGACAATCTCCAGAATGGGAGAAAATACTCAAAAACTATACATTTGCTAAAGTGCTACTAACTGGAAACTACAAAGAACTCAAACAAATCAGCAAGAAGAAAACAACACCATTAAAAAAATGGGCAAAAGACATGAACAGAAGCTTTAAAAAAAAATTAGACAAATGGACAACAAACTTATGAAAAAATGCTTAATAGTCACTAGTTATCAGAGAAATGCAAGTTAAAAGCACAATGAGATATTGCCTTACCCCTATTAGATTGGCCTGCATGCATTCCTATGAAATACTATTGAGGCTTTTCTGAGACAAATCTGAGTAAGTACTAATGGAGAAATGGCCTGCATGTTAGATACAGGTCAGGAATAAATTAAGTCTCTAAAAAATTTAATGTCAAGTATATGTTATAATGGGAACTATGGGTTGGTTTCTCTTTGCATTATCACGTTTTTAAATGTGTTGTTGTCTTCTAAAATTCTATCTCAGGGGCCAAATTCTAATATCTTATCTTGTGGGAGGGACTGCGCCCTTGTCTCCCAAGACCATTAGTGTTGCATGCCCTCCTATCTGAAGTCCTAAACTCTCCAGCAAAGTGGTTATGGGATAGAGGCTGGAAAGTCTCAGCCAGTAGTCTGGGCTTGACACTGCTGCTGAAGCATTAGCTAGTGACAGAGCAGGTGTACTCTGCTGCCTTTGCTGAGCTGTTGGCAGCCCCACCATACTCTGAGGGTAACAGATAGAGTTGCCAGCTTCTTAGTATACAAAGGATGATCTGGCCTGGGCTCCTGCCTCATTGTTATTCTTTTTACTCATCTCCTTTGGAAAGTGCATTTCAATAACCACCTATGCACAGAAGACCAAAATCTGCCATGACTACTCACTGTTCTCCAGGTCCATTTTACTTCAATTTTTTGTTAACAGTTGCATACCAAAGGGATGGTTTGTTTTGATATGTCCCCAACATCCCCTCCCCACACTGGTTTGCAAGAAAATGTAAAATTTGTACTGAAGTACATTCATAGAGAAGTAAACAAATAAAAATTGTACAATTCAACTTTTTACTTAGAACACCCTCATGTGAAGAAACATAGCCCACAATTTCCTTCCAGTTACTACTTGCTATCCTCGGGAGGATACTTACCTTCTTCTTATACCTTAGATGAGTTTTACCACTATTTGAACTTTATATAAATGGAATAATGGTATGTGTGTGCCTTTGTTTCTGACTTTGTATGCCCAGCATACTATTCAGCATGTTATTTCTATTCCATACAATAACTTGCAGGGTAAAGATTATTATTTCCATTTTGCACAAGAAGGAACTAAGGCCCAGAGAGGTGATGCAGCTTTTTTTTTTTTGCAGATTTTGGCCGGGGCTGGGTTTGAACCCATTACCTCTGGTATATGGGGCCGACGCCCTGCTCCTTTGAGCCACAGGCGCTGCCCAGTAATGCAGCTTATTAACAATAGA